TGGACTCCGACGGGGATTCCTGATCCAACTATGGGCTACGACACACACACCTGGCACACCTCCTTGCTCTCGAATTCCAGCCCATCGCGCGTGCGATACGTTCCAGTAAAGAATGTGCCGAAATGCCGGGTGTAAACAGGACCTCGGAATCAGCTTTACTCGGCTTCCACCCACCAACCCACCCACGCACCAATGGCCTGTTCAAGCCTGTTAGCCGGCCAACGCTCTAACCAACTGAACTACAACTAGAATGTCTTGATCCCACCTGTCTGAGTAGCACCCGATGCGTTATTTGTGCAGCTATAGGGTTAACATTTTAGTAACCCCAGTCAAGCCCGAAGATGATATTATTGCATAGCCCATAACAAACCACAAAACCTGCTTCTTTTGCTGTTAGCCTCCACTGGAAGCCGCTCCACTGTGTGCTAACTGTTGGCCCGTTCGTAAGTTCACAGATGGGCTAACAGACAATCAACACCTGCCAGGGTTTCCATCAATGACAAACAGTTGCTTGAGCCATGAGTGCATTTTCGCTCAAAGGTTTACCAAGAATATACCTGTATGTCTGTTGGCCTTTTCCAACTGACCCCCTCAGTAGAAAGGGCAGACTTCTGCAAATCAATGCCTTCGAAGCCGTATCCCCGAGAATGTCATGTTTGTTTCTCCAAAACTACTGACTTACCAACTGGCAGCTCAAGCTTTCTGCTGCTGTTTAAAAATGCCAGTTAATCTACTTCGCCTCCGACTCACTTGTGAAGGCTCAAAAACGTTTATTTTTGTTCTGTTTCGTAAGATGAGCTCAATTTTTCATGCTGTTGGTTTACATACAAATCCGAAAGATGCGACGCAGATGAGCTCACTTGTCTCGTACTCACGTGAGGGGGAAAAGCTGTCCTGTTAAGTAAGGTCGGGGTGGCGACTGAAGCCCATTCTGATAGTGGGCAACACTTGCCATGTCAGAATACTCCCCCTAAGAACTGACGAATACCACCATATGGTTTGTGACTGATTACTCATCAGATGGAGTTTCCCTCTGTTCAAAGCAACGCCAGTCGTGGACCTATCCATAAGTTTGTGCCGCTTTTTCGGCATATTTCGTGTCTATTCAACCCTGATGAATTTCTGATAAGCTTCTGTAAAAGGACTGTCTTTTAAAGCACTTTAGTAGCTGGCTGCGAAATTGATGCGGATAATGTATGAGGAAGAAGCATGAATACATATCAATTCGTTTCAGTTGGGAGACCGCCTTTGCAGTGGTTGGGGCATATTCTTGAAACGACAAGCTCCACCTTCATTTACGTAAAGCGAATTTTTCTGTCCAATTCGCGTACATCTTGTTATTTAGAGAGACGACATAATTTGGGAGGTAATAACGAACGCAACACTGGTTCGAACGTAATGTTATCAATTCCTTCTATCTGTTTATGGTGTGCCTCTTCCAAAAACCATTCCGTTCTCTTCAGGCCGTCCTAATGTATTTTTTTAAACAGAAGATACATTTCTGAAAATTGCATTGTGAAGCTACGCCACTTAGCGTTTCATATTCACCAGGTTTTACGCTCTTATTTGGTTTCCACCGGCTAGTTTTTAGATAAACCTATTAAACTTCTGCACTACTTCATGTTGCCTTCTTGATGACCATACTGCACCGTAAGTTAGTAAGCCAAACGGTGACTACGAATTTAAAAATGCCTCTTTTCTTGCAAAGCAGTTTTTTAAGGTCTCTGCGCCTTACAGATGGTCTTCACCTGCGTTGCTCGTTTTATCCACCTGGATGTTAGCGCCAGGATAAAAGTGTTACTACCACAACATCTTGCTTCCCTCACTGTTGCCCGGAGATTGATGAGAATCATCCTGTTTTAGATGATCTCCGCGCACCATGGATAGACGTCGCACACCCTTCCTCCCGCCGCGGTGGGTTAAATGCCCCCGCGTGGGCAGCATGCTGTTGGATCTTTTTATCCCCTGCAAAACCCCACTGGACTCGAAATTTAGTCAGATTATTGAGCCGGAAGACGTGTTTGAACCGGACAACCTCTTCGAATACG